ACAGATAGATTAACTCATCCCATCATCACACAGCTAGTGAGAGGCAGCGCAGGGATTTTAACCATGGTCATCTGGCTGTGTACGTCTCTGGGTGGCAGAAACGGTTAAGTACTGGACTACTGATGTAAAAACCTATGGGAAAACCCCCGGTGCTTCTGAAAGGTCAGTCTTGAAAACCCTATGGTGCAGTTCTACTCTGAACACATAAGGTCGCCTTAAGTCACGACAGCACCTAACAAGAAGTCTGACTCCACAGTTCACACTGACAACTATACTGTTTTCATACATAGTAAGGGTTATGCAATGGTCATCTTTTTATAAACCTGATAGCTGTTTTGCATTCTAAGGATGGCATAGTACAATAAGAAAAGTACAGAATTTGGGATCAAACCAACCAAAAACAGACCCCTTAATAAGTTCTGAGCCTCAGCTTCCTCTTAGGTAAAATGAGAGTACTTACCTTACTAAGTCATTGTGAAGGTCAGTGGAGGAAACAAATAAAGTGCCAAGTACAGTACCCAGAATAGGGTCCTTAACCTGAGGTTCACAGACACCTAGAGGGTCCACAGATGGCCTTCAGCATACACGACTCTCAAAACTGTTTGACAAATTTTGTGTGTGCCCATTTTTAAAGACTCGTCCCTGGCTTTCCACAAACTTTCAAGGGGCATGTGATCCTCAAATGGTTAAGAACCATCAGAGCACATCGTACTATCCTCTTCTTTTACGAAGGATCCACCAAGGCTTCACAATAAACACCACCATTTCCCTGGCTTGGTAACTAGTATTATCTGCAAGCTTATGCTCCCAAATTTCTACCAATAGTTTTTAAAAGGCCCTCAAGCGCTGCTTCATCCCTCTCGTCACCTAGACGAAAATACTGTATTTTCTCGGGGAGAACGGTCTGCCTAGCTGCACGAATCACCACGGCGGCTGAGAAAATCAAATACAAACTAGACGCTCCGGGTTGGACGATCGAGGCTTGACGCGCCCCCGCTGAGGAGTGAGAAAAATATGTTTCTCAAAACCACCGGACAATCCAGGATTTCGACCCCGTAACCCTTGTCCTCTCGCTGGAACTTAGGTACAGTTCATCTAGGGTCTGCCCCGAGGTGAAGGGGTGAAGAAGGGAAACGTTACCCGATCTAGGGGTTGAAGCGCGGCGAAGACAAAGCTCTGCCGCCCTCGGAGGCAGCAACAGCATGGAGCAAAACACCAGCCCTCAAGCCCCCCCGGAAACCTTCGGGTATTGCTAGTTTTCGACACCGGCCGGGAACCGGCTCGGGGTTTTTCCGTTTCCCAAAATGCCTTCCGCTTCCGGGCTATCCTCTGCCGGAAGCAGCAGGTGGTGACGTCAAAGTGTCGCGCAGACCTTGATTGCGGAAGAAAGAAAGGAGTGTGGCTTGAACATGGTGAGAGAAGGGTCGGGAAAGGGAGATTGTGAGACAGTTTTTTGGGCGAAGATTGAGGGAGAGTCAGCCTTTGGCCAAATTTCCTCTACGTCCCCATTGCATATTTCTATTCCGACCACAATTTGAGAGCTAGAAGTACTTATAATGCTTTGGGCAGTGGGGAGAGGGCTAGCTTCAGACAGGAAGGGCAAGCGGCTCTGGGTATTTGAGGGAACAAGAAAGGAATGGGCAAGAAAAAAGAAGGGACTCAAGACAATTCAGTGTATTTCTAACTCTTTTAATTCTATGATTTCTATTTCAAGGGGAAGCAAAAGAAAGCAAGGAAGTACGCGACCATGAAGCGAATGCTTAGTCTCAGAGATCAGAGACTGTGAGTGTTTGGAATCAATTGGGGTTGTAAAGCTGGCCAGAGAGATAGGGATAAGTAATAATGATTGTTTTTCAATTTTTAATATTACTGTCTTGAGTTTATGTATCATGGGATGGTAGGTATGTGATAGTCACTTAACTGCTGAGTGGTTACATTTCTTAAGTGTTCACTTTGTTCCGTGGGTGTTCTATGTTTTCTATCATTTCACAGTTAAACCTCTCAACAGTTCTGTGAAGTATATAGAATTATCTTTAGGTATTTTTCCCTTACATTCCCCAGAAAAGATTGTTGTCATTGTTGAAAGGTTTCGAGAGACCACGTTTGTTGTGTCTCCGACGCCTGACCTCAAAAGATTTTTGAAAGCGAGTGGGGCAACTCCCCATTATTAGAATCCAAATCACTGCAGAAGAAGAGAGCAGAATTATGGGCATGGACACAACTTTCCTACTTGAAAAAAGAAGGGCTGAAGTTACCAATTAGGACTGGTTTCATTGTGTTTAAGAGACTCAGAACAAAGGAATGGTCGTTAGAAACTTCAGAGTTATTCAATTATATTCTCAGATTTTAACAATGAATTTATTGTTTAATTTTTAGGAAAGATATCTCCTTAACAATCTTTCTAGTTAAGGCTTGAAACCAAAAAAACAAACTCACTGCTGATGAGTTGGATCTGACTCCTAGCAACCCCTCCTTGGGTTTCCAGGTGGTCTCACTATGGAAGTAGATTGCCCAGTCTTCCTTTCAAGGATTGTCTGGTGGGTTTGAACCGCCAGTCTTCTGGTTAGCAGTCAAATGCCTTAGAGCTCCCAGTTAAGGCTTAAAGTCTGTATAGTATATGTGTTGTTACATTTTAGCCCTTTATAGGAGGCATATTGGAAAACTTTTTTCCCCCCACTGTTGAAACATCTGAGTCTGTGGAAGATAAAGGTCACCTTTTTGGACACAGCAGAAAAGTGGAATTTCATCCTTGATTTGATAGCTTCTGACCAAGAAAGGAGCTCTGGTAGCATAGTGGCTAAGACACTTGCCTGCTAACCAGATGGCTGGCAGTTCAAACCCACCAGCCACTCCTCGAAAGGAAGGTTGGGCAATCCTACTTCTGTAGCGATACTGCCTCGGAACCCAAGGAGGGGTCGCTCTGAGTCGGGGCCGACTCGATGGCACATAACAACAACAACAACAACAACTGACCAAGAAAGAAATGTTAATCACCATTTATTTACCCATTTACAGTTTTTATGGATTATTGGCTAGAGGTTTTAAATTTTCATTGTTTTTCTGATTAATTTTGATACTTCCAGGGTACCTCTCACTTTACTTATCAGAGAGTAACTGAAGTGAGAGGTACCCTAGAAGTATCAAAGTTAACGTAAGGAAATCACAAAATAGGATTTCCTCTGTAGACCAATAAAAGAAAAGAAATTTATGATTTTTGAGTGAGATTAAAACTGCTATGTTTCCTTTTTTTTCTCCTTTGATTTATATTACATTCTCTTCCTAGCAAAGAAAAGGATAGATTAAAACCTAAAAAGAAAGAAAAGAAAGATCCCGGCGCACTCAAGGAAAGAGAAGTGTGAGTAATCAAGAATTTCTGGTTTTCCTTTCAAACTAGAAGGACATTCTACGACTATGTGCCTCTTGGAAATCAAGTCTTTACCTGAGATGATTTGTTCATCTTCATTTGTTATTCGTGAGTAAAGCTGGCACAGCTATGCCAAAGATGGGGCATTGATGAGTGTTACCAATTCCAATAGTTTGAAAGTCTTTGGATTTCATGGAACAGTAAAATATCCCCTAAAATCCTGGGGTTACAGTCTAGAGATTTTTTTTCCTTTGCCAAGCATCTTTCCAAAGAAATAATTGTCATCGTTTAACACATCAGCATTTTATAAAAGATCATATCGCCAAAAAAATGAGGACATATTTTCAGAATAAAGGTCATTCCTTTTAAGTAAATAATTAAGGTTTTCAAAAACCTCACCATGTTTTCCTTGTTCTTCTCATTTTTCCCTGGATTGCAAGTAGTTATCACAGGTAGACACTGGTCCGTGGACTAGCATTTGGAACTACTGCTATATTCAACCTAGATATCTTGGGCTTTTACATAAGAAACAGGCCCTGCTATAGTATATAATCCTAACATTGGACTATTGTTTTCCTTTATCATATGTCATATAGCCCTTTAGAAGCTTGTGAGAATGGTAAACTTACTGTAATATCCTAGTCATGACAGCTTTATTCTACCTCCCTAAGTCCAACTCCTGCTAGAGGAAGAACTGAGTTAGATAATTGCATTTTCAAAGTTGCAGTGAAGTGTAGTGGTGGACCTGAGATGGAGAGATCCACTTTCTCACTTTCCTTTTTAGGGTTTATTTCCAATGAACAAGGAAAAGGAAATTTAATCTATAGCAAATTGTCCTAAGCATAGGTGTCTTTTTGTTGTTTTTTGATACCAAAGTATCAGTGTAGACATTACTTTGTATCCTTGTTTTCTTTCTCCTTCAGCCCCCAACACCCTTCCTGCTTGTTCTTCCAATATAACACACAGCTGGGCCCGCCATACCACATCCTGGTAGATACCAACTTTATCAACTTCTCCATTAAAGCCAAACTGGACTTGGTGCAATCAATGATGGACTGTCTGTATGCTAAGTGTGAGTGTCATGCTTTCATAGTTCTGTGACATTTGTCCAAAAAGGCTCATTGTATTTATACAAATACATGAAAAGAGGGTGTTCTGGTTACCTAGTAATGCTCTGACAAGAATCTACCACAAATGGAATGGCTTAAACAAACAGCAGTTTATTCTTACAGTTTGGAGGCTTTAAGTCTGAGTTCAAAGTGCCAGGCTCTAGGGGCTGGGTAAAAGCCCCTCAGCCTTGGGCTTCAGCTCTGCCTCCAGCTCCTGGCCCACTGAAGCTAGAGGCTTTTCTTTACTCAGACAGCTGCTGGCTGCTAAGGCTGCCAAGCCCAAGGTTGACAAGTAAAAAGGCACAGTCCCGATGTTACCAACCACACAGCAGGCCATTAATTTAAGTCCATTGAAAGCCCCAAGGTCAATAGAGCATGGCAGGCTGCTGAACAATGACACGGTTATGTGCAGGGTCCAAGCATGCCATAAGCTAGAGACTATTCCCCAGGGCTTCTGCTTATATACAGGAAGCAGACCATATTTCCTAAGGCAGCTACTCAGCTGCTCACAGTAGATTCCACCATGGAGTTGATTACCAGTCTCGTCATGGGGAATACAACATCCAGCTGCCCAGCCACCTTAACCAGGCCCAGCCAAGTTGACACACAAACTGAACTACCACAGACGGGGAGTGAGGTTGTATAGTTAATTAAATTGCTGGCTACTTAATTTGTTCACCATAGCAATGACCATTTTCAATGAATTGAAATATGCAGATTTGACTGAGAATCATTAAGCTTCCACAGTTCAGGAAACAGAATGTTTCACCTGTTATGAACATTACTTTTGGACATGGGAGGGGAATTTTCTGTTTTAGAATTCTGTATTTTAAAATTCTGTGTAAGTGAATATTTATTATAGTTTTCAACAGGTATATTCTTTTAAACTAAGGAGGAAACATTCTTTATTCCACTCCAGTGTGGACAAGCTAAATAAGAGATTTTGTTATTTGAGATCTCATAATCAGTAGTTGAATGATGATTAGCAAGTCCCGTGTTTGTTCAGTTTGGCATTTATTGGTACCACAAAGGATCTGGAGTAGTTTATATACACCTAGGGAGGCATTTTACCATTCATTCACAGATTTTTCTCCTGTATTTGGGTCTTCCCACCTTCATATATTCTTCCTTCATACCATCGGAGGGAAAACAAAATTTAGGCCATGTATGAGAGAATAACTTCTGCTTTCGTAGAGATACTGCCTCTGAAACCCAAGGAGGGGTCGCTGTGATTCAGATCTGACTCAACGGCAGTGAGTTTGTTTTTTGGTTTTTTATATTCATACATGTTCTGGTCCCCTGGTTAAAGGTATAAATGAAAATTTGACTTTACTTTGCCATAAATTGGAATCAAAGGAAAAAAATTGCACCTCCCTCTTTCATCATTAAAGGATATAAAATGAGCAACATTTATTGAGTGATAGTGATAGTAATGCAAACATTGTTTATCAATGTACTGAAACCAGCAAGATAGAAGGTGGAGATAATCAAGGTGGGAAGGAGACCCGACACACAGTCAGACTTCATGTCTCTTTGCTGCCATTGAATTCACTGGCGTTGGGTTCTCTCTGCGGGGCCCCTGTTGTTGTTATGTCCCGTCAAGTCGGCCCCAACTCATAGTGACCCCTCCTTGGGTTTCCAAGGCAGTTTCACTACGGAAGTAGATTGCCCAGCCTTCCTTCCAAGGAGTGGCTGGTGGGTTTGAACTGCCAGCCTTCAGGTTAGTGAAGTGCCTTAGGCACTACGCTACCAGAGCTCCTCTGGGGCCTCTAGTTGGCAAAAAAAAAAAAAAAAGGGCATGAAGGAAACCCAAGGTGAGAGTACAGTGAACAGACAATAATATCTCCAAGGATCGGGATTGATGGAGTGGGGAATATAGTAAGGGGACAGTTATTTTTTTCATACAGGCCTTTCCGTACTTTTGTTGTTGTTGTTGTTCCCTTAAGCTATGTGTGTGTACTACTTTAAGAAAAATTATTTCCTAAATAATAAAGAATAGTCTGAAATTGGGGGATTACTGTGCCTCTAACAGTGGGCCATGGGTGGCCCTATGTGGGGAAGGACACTAAACTTGATGTAGAGTCTTTGTATTTCCTGTGGTATTTCTAATAGTTGTTCGAGCTGCTTCTCCAGGAATGCTGTGACATATAATGAAATGGATGGAGGGTTAAACCATAGTCCCTTGGTGACAAACTGTTTCTTTGACTCTATAGCTCTGTCACTAATATCTAGCTGGAGACTGTTTAGGATAGCTTTAGTCCTATAGTTAAACTTTCTCTATGTGTGGAAACCTTAGAATACAGCTATAATGGATCGTTCACTCACTGTGCCTTTTCTAAAAATAAGCTTGTTAAGGAAAGTATCACTTTGCAGTCTTCAGTGCAGTATAGTCATTCAAAGCAAAGGAAAAAAACATTTAAGTACAGTACATGTTCAGAACTAAGACGTAAACTGTTTTAAGTAGAACAGGCAACTACTGTTCTTTCTGTCTTTGCTTTTTTAATTTCCTAATTCAACGTTGCATACATGTACGGTTCAGTGATATTATCGTGTTATTCAATCATTACTACTATCTCGTCCCAAATTTTTCCATCCCTCCTTGACAGAAGCTCAGTGTCCCCTAAGCATTGAGTCTTCCTTTCTCCTTCATCCCTCCCACCCCTGATAACCACTAATAAACTTTGGTCTCTAGACACTTACCTAGTCTAGATGTTTCACATAAGTGAGATCATGCAGTATTTGTCCTTTTGTGACTGACTGATTTTGCTCAGCATAATGTTTTCAAGGTTCATCCATGTTATAACATGTATCAAGAGTTTATTATTTCTTTTTATGGCAGGGTAATATTCCATTGTATATATGTGCCACATTTTGTTTGCTTGCGTTTATGTCTAAAAGGAGGCCTTTATCTCTTCCTCTTGCCTTAGAGATTCCTCTGACCTTTTTGTAATTCCTGGTCCCTTCCATTTCGACCTGATAGTCGGAGAGAGGTAATTAGCTTCCCATCAGCTTTCTATTGCTGTTACTTTATAGTGGGCTTCCTGGGCCCATTTCCTTATTCCACTTGCAAGCCCTTTCCTGCTTCACGCTACGTGGCTCTGAAGTTTCTCCTCTCAGACAAGGTGCATGTTGCCCCATGACTACCTCCATTTTACAACTTTTTCTTCTAGACATTATATTTAAATTTTTTTTTTTACAAAAGTATTTACATACTTGTTTTTTAAAAATATATATATATATGTACACACATAGACACATCATATAAAATGAAAGTTTCTTATAAGCCTTTCCTCAGAAAAGTTCATTTTTGAAAATTCATATACAACCTGTTTGGGGGTGGAGGTTATTTTATGAATGAAAATTGATCATGTTATTTACTGTTTATTTTTTAGTTTTTAATATATTAACAGGATTGTGTATTTGTCAGCGCAATTTCAGAACAAAATGAAGCCTTGTTTTCGTTAACCACCAACCCCATACCCCCTAACACTTCTCCGTCCTAGGCAACTACTGTTCTTTCTGTCTCTATAGATTTGCCTATTCTGGACATTTCATATAAATGGGGTCATATGATGATGTGGTCCTTTGTGGCTGGCTTCTTTCATGTAACATAATGTTTTCAAGGTTCATCTTTATTGTAGCATGTATCAGTACTTTAACTTTTTGTTATGATTTTGGTGACATTTTACAAATCAAATTTATTTTGCATTCAGCAATTAACATATTCTTTTTTATGACACTGATTTTAATCCCCACAGTGTAACTGCTCTCTTCCTACTTCCTCCCTCTGGTTCTCTCTTCCCTGTGTCCTTCTTGCCTGTTCCTGCCTCCATAGCTTTCTCCTGCGCAAGTGCTTCCCTTCTGATCTCCTGTGGGTGGTTGGTCTGAGGAGTGAATCTCCCTGGTGTAGTTGTTCATTCAGCTCATAGGCCTGTCTATGGTTTGCCGTGGGACTGAGTCCAATTCCAGGCCCAAAGGGTGACTTGGGGTTTCACCTGTCTCTATCCAACCAGTAGTCCTGGTCTGTATGTTTTTTTTCAATTTTATTCTACATTTTTCTCCCACTCTATCCAGGATATCCAAGTTTGATCCTTTTCTGAGTGATTCTCAGTGGTAGCTGGGCATCATCTAGTTCTTCTGGTCTCAGGTTTGGACTAATTTTTTCCCTGCATCTTTGATTTTCTTCACTCTTCTTTGCTCCAGACAGAGAGACATCCTAGTTGGCCACTCAACAAGCCTTTAAGACCCAGTCACTACTCACTGAACTAGGATATAAAACAATGTTGTGGTGTACTACGTTGTGCCAGTTGAGGTTGATGTCCCCTGCAACCATGGTCCCAAGTCCACAGACTCAGTGACTCACTTCCTCAAGGTGCTTAGTTGTTGCTAAGAAACTATCCTGACTTTGTCTCCTGTTAGCTCTGTACTGCATATGAACATTTTATAACCAAAACTGAACCAAACTCACTGCCATCGAGTTGGATCCAACTCACAGCGACCCCTCTTTTGGTTTCCAAGGCAGTATTACTACGGAAGTAGATTGCCCAGCCTTCCTTCCGAGAAGTGGCTGGTGGGTTTAAACTGCCAGCCTTCTGGTTAGCAGTCAGATGACTTAGGCCCTATACCACCAGAGCTCCCTGAACGTTTTTATAACACATACAAATACGCATGTAGTAATATTGTCTGCCCAACCTTTATGGTCACACCTACCCATACCTGATCTTCTTGCCTGTCTACTTATGTAGCCACCTGTAGATTACTGATAATGCAGTATTGCATATGTAATAGTATTTACCTTTATTGTCTGTACCTCTTCCCTGTGTCTTTGTTTTCCTTAGTGATATTGTGGTGGTCATATTGTTGTTGTTATGTGCCTTCGAGTTGGACCCGACTCATAGCGACCCCTCCTTGGGTTTCCAAGGCAGTATCACTACAGAAGTAGATTGCCCCATCCTCCTTCTGAGGAGTGGCTCATCATACACTGCTATTATATTGCCTTTCCATTTGCCCAAATCAACATCTGTCTCTTAACTAGTGAGCAGTTTTCCCTCCCATCCCATCCCTGATAACCAACAAAGATTCTTTTCCTTCCTTGCATAAACCTTTCCTTGACTTCTTAACATAACGGACCACACTAGTTAAGGTCATGTGTCAACTTGGCTGGGGCAAAGTTTTGAGTGCTTGGCAGCTGGATGTAGTTATTCCACGTGATGAGATTGTAATCACCTCCATGGTGTAATCTGCTGTGAGCAGCTAAGTCATTGCCTTTGGGGTGTGACCTGCTTCCAATATATGTGGAGAAGCTTTGGGAAAGGTCTGTAGCTTTTTGGCACATTTTGGATCTTGGGCAAGTCTTTATCTCCAGTTCCTGGACTTGAATGAGTGGCCTGTCATGTTGCCTGTTGATCTTGGGGTTGTGCCATTTTGCCAGCCGACTTTGGGTTCATCAGCCTCAGCAGCCTGCAGCTGCCTGAGTTAGGAGACGCCTCCAGCTCCAGTGCCTAGAACAGGGTGGGAGGGCTTAAGCCCAAAGTTGAGCTTCTTGTCGTTGTTGCTAAGTGCTGTCGAGTCGGCCCCAACTCATAGCGACCCCTCCTTGGGTTTCCAAGGCAGTATCACTACGGAAGTAGATTGCCCAGCCTTCCTTCCGAGGAGTAGCTGGTAGGTTTGAACTGCCAGCCTTCTGGTTAGCAGTCAGTTGCCTTAGGCACTATGCTACCAGAGCTTGGGCTTTGTAAATATGTATGTCTCTGTGCAACAGTGTGAGTATTTATTTAGGACACAATTTTTAGAAGCTGTTTTTTTTTACAATACCAAGAGGTATGTATATTTTTCATTTTAACAGGTATTACACAATTACTCTCAAATAGTGACACTAATAACTTAGTATGAGAATATCTGTTTCCAATCTAATAGGTAGAAAATGAAATCCTATTTCAACTTTTAATCTCTTTAATTAGGAATGAGGTTAAGCTTCCTGATACCCCTTGACCATTTGTATGTCCTCTTGTGTGAACAAAAGTGTAACAGAGTAGTTAGAAGCCCGGCCTGTAGAGCCTACCAGGCTTGTTCCAAATCTTGATTTCACCTTTTATTCTCTGGTTACTGAACATCTTTGTGCCTCAGTTTCTTCATCTCATAACATTATCACAATACAATAATATTACTATTACTGTAGTAATGCTAACACCTATGTAATGGGGATACCGCCAAGATTAAATTCGATAGTCCTTCTAAAGTGCTTAATACAGTGCCTGGCAAATAGCCTAGAAGCTGTTTTTTGTTTTTTTAATTGTGATTTGGGTGAAAGTTTACAGAGCAAATTCACTTTCCATATAGCAGCTCATATATACTTTGTCTCGTGACATTGACTGCAATTTCCCACAATGCAACAGCTCCCCTACTACTTCCTCTTCATAGTTACTCTTCCCTGTGTCCTTCCCTCCATGTACTTCTGCCCCTGAGCTGTCTTCTTGTGCACACACAGCCCTTCTATTCTCCCATGATTGATCTCTCCAGGGAGTGTTATCTACCTAATGTAGATGTTCAGCTCTTAGGCCTGTCTTTTGTTTGGCTGGAAGCCACAGGAGTGGATTCAATTCCAGACCTGAAGGGCATCTAGGGGCCATAATCTCAGTGTTTCCATTAGACTCTATCAGACCAGCAAAACTAGTCCCTTTTTTTTTTTTAAAATGATTTTGAGTTTTGTTCCACATTGTTCTCCCACTCTAGCATATAAACTGTTTTTATAAGCTTTTTGTATATTAAGGAAATTAGCCCTTTGCCAAATGTGCTGAAATATTTTCCCAGTTTAGTTTTTTACTTTATCATGTTTTTTTTTTTAATTTTCTACTCTTGTAAATAGAGATATATATGTATGTGTGTGTATATATATACATATATATAAACAAGTATATATATGTAACATATCATCTGCCAATACAATATTTTTCACAATTTAGTGATATCAATTATATTAATCGTATTGTGCAACCACCACCCATAATTGTTGCCAAATTTCCCATCACTATAAACAAACTGTTACAGCTTTGCATATGATTGTCAAAACAGGATTTTTTTTTATTCTTATGTGATCAAATTTACTGTCCTTTCCTTTGGTTTTCTAGTTAATTTCCTTGTATCTTTGGTTTTTACATTTTAATCTTTGGAAGAGAGGGCTCTATCTGGGTCTGCAAAAATAGGATGTGTGATTTGATCTTTCCTATTTAGCTGGGCACAGGTTTAGAACTTGAGTTTAGTACGGCAAAAGGCAACCATTGCCGTGGAGTCGGACCCAACTCATAGTGACCCCTCCTTGGGTTTCCTAGGCAGTATCACTACGGAAGTAGTTTGCCAAGCCTTGGCCATTTGTTATCTCTGCTCCCTGAGGTCAAGTTTGTTGTCATGCAGAGTAACCCCTCCTCTGTCTGCCCCATTCCTGCCCTCCCTCTGTGCAAGGTAGACTCTTTCTTGGATGTCTTCATTCAAAAGCCAAGTGTGAAAACGGGGCACTCATGACTGAAAAGTTCCCTCTACCCATACTCAGTCTTTCTCCATATTAAGGGTTAGTTGTTAGTAGGCCTTCTGTACTGTCTCACTTCAGTTTTTAAGTCTGTACTCAGTATTAGGGGGCGTCGATGCAAGTTGCCTCTCTGAATGGCACCGTGTAAGACAGATAGTATTTGGCATCTGTGATGGGATTGGGGCAGTTCTCCAGTTTCTTTGTAAGTAGGGTTTTCTTCTCTGGTTTTTAATGTTCATCTCAGTGCATTTCAGTGTGCTTATTCTGCTATCATTCCTGAAGTCTCCTGGGTCTTTTAAAGCCTCCAAACAGTATATAATTCAGAGAGTAAAATAGATAGTAACTAGTTCGGTTACTAATACATACTTTTTGGCAGGTATCCCTTGTATAACTGACTGTGTAATGGCTGAAATTGAGAAGTTGGGACAGAAGTATCGAGTGGCTCTAAGGTAGGAAGAAGCTATTCTGAATTTGTTCCAGATTGGTGGTATGCAGAAGATTCTTCTTACCCTCTTACATCTGTTTGTTGTCCAAAGTTTTCTTGGCTGGTTAGTTTAAATAAAAATCATACAAAACTAGTTAACAATGATTAAGAAAGTAAATGTTTGAAATCCTTTACTATGACCCGCTGACAGTTTTTTTTTAAAAAAAAAAAACAGTTTCACATAGAATCCTCTTGATGAAGCAGTAAAATGTGTTAGCTTTATTAAATCTTGACTCTTGAGTACACGTCAGTTTTGTTTGTGATGAAATGTGAAGTCCGCAGAAAATACAGAAACATTTCTACCATACTGAGGAGCATGGTTGTTTCAAGGAAAAGCATCTGTGTCCTTGTTTCAGCTGCAGGGGGAATTAGCTGCTTTTTAAAATGAAATGTCATTTTTATGTGGAAGAAAACGGACAGTTACCAGTTATTCAAACCTTAGTGTTGGGAAATATTTTCTCAAAATTACTGAAGTGAACCTGTCACTTTAGGGAAAACAGCTTACTCTATTTGTTGCGGACGATAACATTCAAGTTTTCCAGCAAAAGTCAAGATTTTGGAAAACTTGTGTCTGTTATCATGAGCATATCATGTTCCCAATACTTAATGCCTTTCTGTTGAGATCAGTGGTCATATTGATGAGTCCTCTCGTTGGCTCAGGCAGATGGGACGCCGATGGGGCTGAGTGCACAGTGCTCCCTCTTCTTTCTCTTCCTCTCGCTCCACTCCCATCACTGCCCTCTCCGCTGCTGCCACCAATACCAACACCTATTCCTCCAGGCTCCAGCAGCAGCTCCAGTAGCAGTGGCAGTGGCAATGAGTGTAACTAGAAGTGGGCTCCCATAAGGTTTTAATGTAGTGTTCGCACATTGCCTAGATCGCATAACATCCTAGTTCACAGAATGTATCATGCACATTAAGCACTGCATACAAATCTATAAGGACTTCTACAAATCTATAAGAAAAGACAAATAATCCTTAAATCCACGATAAAATATCGTTTCAGACCTATCAGATTGGCAGAAATTTTGAAAGACTGTTTGAGTATGCCAAGAATAGGCGAGACTGTGGAGCAGTGAGAATTCTCATACTCAATTGCTAAATTGGGTATAAATTGGTATAAACTGGACAGTCACTTTGGAGAGCAGTTGGGCAACACCTGATAAAATCGAAGTCATCCATATTCTTGAAATAGACATGGACATCATAGTCCTTAGGTTGTGGAATCAGTTTAATGGATCACAGCTAGTAATTTTTTATTTTTTTGAATGAAAAAGAATATTAGCATGCATTGCATGTAGTAAAGATTGAGCCCTGTTTCACAAAGCTTTTTTAAGCTTTATGTATTTATATATGTATTGTATTTTCATATAGTAGATATTTATATATTTGAGTGTGTATGTGTGTATATACTGTAGGCTCTAGTAAAAAGAAAAGGGATTGCCAGAAAAATTCCAATGTGTTGGAGACTATATTGGAATTTTCTTATCTTTGTAACAGCAAAAGTTTGCAAGCAGCCAAATGGTGCATTAGGAAGAGAGTGGATAAATTGTGGAATGTTCTCAAAAACAGTGGGGAACAAAAAATAGCACAAGAGCATATTTGGAGGATTTCATTTCTCTAACATTTTAAAACGTGCAAAACAGTACTACATTTTCCAGATATTACACACATAAGCTTACATGTGTGAGAAAATGATAAATACCAAATTTAGGTTGGTAGTTGCTTTTGGGAAGGTAGAAAGAAATTAGGATTGGAGAAGGGGCTACATTTTTATTTGTAATGTTGTATTTCTTTAACTAGATGGTGGGTGCAAGATGTTCATCATTATTTATT